TGACTAAATCATATCTTCATCTTCAATCTTCTAAAGCTTCTTGATGATTTTGAACTTCTTCATATTTCTAGAATTTCACTGGTCAAGTTTACACTACTTTCAACACATTTACTAAAGTATGGTGCATTTGATTAATGTACTCAGAAATCTTGTATATGTATTTGCACTACTACTCTATGTTTCATGCTTGATCTTTCAACATTGTATGACACTACCAACCCTCTTAGTATGAATTGTAATTTCATGAATCACTATCAAGTCACAAACAAATGGAATGATCAGCATGCAAGACTAGACACGACATGGCTGGGCATACATCTTATACGTTCCATTTCTTTAATTCTCTCCCATCATGTCCTGTTCAGTTGAGCGTATATGTCATTACTGAATTTGAAAATTGAAACACCTAGATGGTCAGGCAACTTCTATCCTAACTTTTTGAATTCGAATTTAATAGGATTTGGCCATTGCAACCTTGTTGACAAGACCAGTTGTTTTCTACCATAGTTGATATAGGTTGCTAGAGGAAACCACCCTCGACGCCAAGCAAGACCGATCACAGCACTTCGACGCGAGGTCGCCGACCCCCCCTAGGGGCACTCTGCCACTACGCAAGGCCGTCGACCCCCTCAGGGGGTGCTCTACCACTTCGCAAAGTCATCGACCCCCCTAGAGGCGCTCTACCACTACGCGAAGTTATCGACCCCCCTAGAGGCGCTCTACCACTACACGAAGACATCGACCCCCTTAGGGGTGCTCTACCACTATGCGAGGTCTACAATTGGAATGGGACTGCCTGTCCAAACACTTAGCCATAAAACTCCTAGTGAATTAATTAGGTTTCATAGTTGCAAAATGCGAAAATAATCCCCAGGCAGGAAACTAAAGATCCCCCACTCAGAACGTGGGCACAGTGGGACACGTGGCACCACATTCGCCTAGTGGTTATCCGACCCCTAATGTCTATAAATACCTCCGGACGCAGCACAGGTAAAGGGTTCTTTTTTTTATCTATCTGGTTCATCCTTAAAATTCCAATCATATTTTTCAAGCCTATGAACTAATTCTCACACCGGAGGTAAAACGGGGGAGGAAGCCCTGCCTTCACTTTTCAGGTCATATATACCGGACGGAGTAGACGAAACGCCCAGCGCAATCAGGCAAACAGGAAGGTGTTGATCAACTACCATTTCATTGGCGCCGTCTGTGGGAAAGTTTTGAACTAAAAAGCCATGCCAAGAAGACGAACAAGGAGTGATACTCGCCTGGTTGGGAATACGACGGAGTCGGAGTCAGTTGCAAGGGGACGTGAGCCGCCGTTGCCCCCGCAGTATGTGACGCAGGGTGAATTCAGCGCTTTGGAGACCTAGTTGGCAGCAATGATGGCACTCCTACAGGACCAGTCGCAGAGACCCACTGTCCCTCCATTGAGCCCAACAAAAGTGACGAGCCAGCAACCGCCTCAAGCGCCACCCGCGATTGTCCCTCCGATCTCTTTGCGGGGGACGGGAGATGCGGGAGCCCCAGAGATCGAAGCTCAACAGCCCCTGCAAACTATGGTAGACCTGGAACAAAAGATGGAAGAAATCATGACCCAGAAGATAGATGATGCCTTGTCCAAGAGAAAAGATAGACGAAGACAGATGGTTTTGGAGAAAGACCCGTTCGCACCAGAAATCATGGCTGTCCCCTTACTTAAAGGTTTCAAACGGCCTATGATAGAAGCGTATGATGGAGTCACGGACCCGTTTGACCACTTGCGAACCTTCGTAGATCTGATGAGACTTTACGCCGCCCTGGACGCAGTGATGTGCCGATCCTTTCCCCCCACACTCAGGAAGGAGGCTAGGGACTGGGTAGCGACCTTGGCCCCATGATCCATTAAATCATTTGATGAGCTCTCCAGGAACTTTGTAGCTTACTTCGTAAGCAGCAAGAGAAAGAGGAAGACAGCCATTGGGTTGATGCAGGTCGTACAGGACAAGGACGAGTCATTGCAGGAATACTTAGCCAGGTTCAGCCGAGCAACTCTCGGCATAAAAGACCTACAAATGTCGCGAACCTTCGTAGATCTGATGAGACTTTACGCCGCCCCGGACGCAGTGATGTGCCGATCCTTTCCCCCCACACTCAGGAAGGAGGCTAGGGACTGGGTAGCGACCTTGGCCCCATGATCCATTAAATCATTTGATGAGCTCTCCAGGAACTTTGTAGCTTACTTCCTAAGCAGCAAGAGAAAGAGGAAGACAGCCATTGGGTTGATGCAGGTCGTACAGCAGTGGTTACCGCCTTGATGAATGGAACGCGAAATCGGGCCTTTAAAATGTCACTCTTCAAGAACCCCCCAGAATCGATGCATGACTTATTGAGGAAGGGGGACAAGTATGTCGATGCGGAGGAAGCAGAGAAGATTACTAAAAGTCTCAGGGACGTAAGGGAGGCGGAAGTTCATAAGCGAAAAACATATGACGAGCAAAGGCACACTAATAAAACAAGCCGAAGAATGAACGCATAAACAAGGGATATGCCTAAGACCGGCCGGTCAAGTAGAAGCGAGAGGAGGTCAAGGCACCCACCCCTTTGAACATTCCACGTACAAAGTTATCGATGGAGATACAGCACATGAGAGAGCTCGAATGGCCTAAACCGATGCTAACTCCTTTCGATAAGAGAAATCAAAGTAAATATTGCCATTTTCATAGAAATCATGGGCATGATACCGAAGAATGCCTGCAGTTAGAGGAAGAAATTGAGCGCCTGCTAAGAAGGGAACTATTGGCTAAGTATGTGAAAAATGACAAGGGTAAGCAAAGGCTCGAAGGTCCACCCCCACCGAGGGCAGGAGTGATAAACATGATCATCGGAGGAATAACATCAGGCGGTGACTCAAATTTGGATAGAAAGAGCTATGCGCGTTCTATAGGGGTTTGCTCTATTCAGAAAAAAGCAAGATTCAACCAGAACATAACTTTCGATCAAGAGGACTTGATTGGTGTAACGCACCCCCATGATGACGCCTTAGTAATAGTAGGCGATATAGCGGATTTTGACGTGAAAAGGGTGTTAGTTGACGAAGAAAGTGCGGTAAATGTCCTCACCTTCTTGGGTCTAAAAGTTCCCCAAGAGAAGTTGAAGATGGTGACTACCCCCCTACTAGGCTTTGGAGGGGCAAGAGTGATACCGGAGGGGACTGTGGAATTTTCAGTCACGCTAGGGACATACCTAGCAACAGTGGTCATCGTGACTAATTTCTTGGTTGTCAAGACCCCCATGGCCTACAACGCTATCTACGGCTGACCATTACTAAATGCAGTTGGTGCGGTCCCATCGAACTACCATCAAGTTATGAAGTTTCCAACTAGTAGGGGAATCGGGTGCGTGCGAGGGGACCAGCAGGCATCAAGAAAGTGCTATGTGGATAGTATACAAGCCAAAGGCTCACCATCAGTCATGATGTTGGATGTGGAACTCCCGAGGGAGCGGATCGAACCGCTCGATATGATAGAAAAAATCTTTGTAGCCGAAGGACGAGAGTTTAGTGTTGGAATAGGTTTGGGATCCGAAGAGAAAGAAAAATTGGCAAGGTGTCTAGCTGATAACTTGGATGTCTTTGCTTGGAGCCCAGAGGATATCCCAAGAATTAGCCCGACCGTCGCGCAGCACCGCCTCGATGTCCAGCTGGGGGCTAAACCAGTGAAGCATAAAAAAAGAAATCTCGCCCCTGAGAGGCAGGCTGCGGCCAGAACTGAGGTAGAAAAACTGCTACAGACGGGTTTCATCCGAGAAGTGCAGTACCCCGAGTGGTTGGCAAACATTGTACTTGTGAAGAAGTCAAACGAAAAGTGGCGTATGTGTGTAGATTATACTGGGCTGAATAAGGTGTGCCCAAAAGATTCATACCCGCTTCCCAGAATAGATCAACTGGTAGATGCAACTTCAGGACACGGAAGGCTCAGCTTCCTAGATGCATTCTCGGGATATCATCAAATTTCAATGGCCGAGTCCGACCAAGAGAAGACGTCATTTATCACTGACTTTGGCACGTACTGTTACACGGCTATGCCGTTTGGTTCGAAAAATGCAGGGGCGACGTATCAGAGGATGGTAAACAAAGTCTTCCGTAGGCTGATTGGAGATGTTGTAGAAGTCTATGTTGACGATATGGTGGTCAAGAGAACCAAGGCTAATGACCATGTGGCCAGCTTGCAAAAAGTGTTTGACGTTGCCCGATAAAACAGGTTAAGGTTCAATCCAGAGAAATGTGTTTTTGGGACTGCGGGGGAAATTTTCTAGGATTCATGATCACGCAAAGGGGGATCGAAGTAAACCCGAACAAAATTCAGGTGATCCTAGAAATGAAAAGTCCTACCAGCAGGAAGGAAGTTAAGAGGTTGACAGGGCGGGTGGCCGCCTTAAATCGTTTCACGAGCCGGGCAGCAGACAAATGCTACCACTTTTTCAAAGCTATAGGGGGCTCCTCCAACTTCGAGTGGACCCAAGAATGTGAAGAATCACTCAGGAGCTTGAAACAGTCATTACAAGAGCCCCCGATCTTGACCAACCCCTGCCCCGGGGATGTGTTATGTCTTTACTTGGCAGTCTCACCAAGGACAGTCAGGGCGGTGCTGGTGAAAAAGTTCTCAAAGGTGCAAAAACCAGTCTACTATGTGAGCCAAGTATTAAGGGGCGCGGAGGAAAGATACAGCCTGGCTGAACAGCTGGTGTAAGCATTGATGGTAGCAGTTAGAAAGCTGAGGCCTTACTTTCAGTCTCATAGGTACAAGTAATGAACGACCAACCCATCAAGCAGATCCTACATCGGCCCAAGACCTCTGGAAGAATGTTGAAATGGGCAATCGAGTTAAGTGAATTTGATATTGAATTCAGGCCAAGGACGGCTATTAAGGCACAAGCTCTAGCAGACTTCATCGTTGAACTCACCCTTTCGCCCGAGCACCCACCAGGGGGACAGGCAGATTGGAAAATTTTTGTCGATGGATCTTCGAACGATGAAGAATCCGGGGCTGGGATCATAATGATAGGTCCGAATGGGGAAGAGTTGGAATACTCGTTGCGTTTTGAATTCCTAGCTATAAATAACGATGCCGAGTACGAGGCAGTGATCACAAGTTTAAGATTGGCAGCCAAACTCGGGATAACTTCAGCAGAAATTTGCAGCGACTCTCGATTGATAATCGGGCAAGTGACGGGGGAGTTCGAAGCAAAAGACGAAAAGGTGGCAGCATATTTAATGGAGGTCAAAAACTTGCAGAAGGGGTTCACCAGGTTTAAGATAACTAAGGTTCCGCGAAAGGACAATGAGCGGGCAGATGCGCTGGCTAAACTCGTATTCGCTAACCCCAAACGTCTGCCTCGCACAGCAAGCGTGCAAATTCTGCGGCAACCTAGCATCCCACACACGACAGATGTTATGAATATAAAGTATGAGGAGAGTTGGATGGACCCGCTGTTTGAATATCTAACAAAGAATAAATTGCCGGAAGATGCTTTCACGGCGAGAAGGCTAAAAATTTGGGCAGCCTTGTTTGCCGTCATCGATGGACTGCTCTACAAGCGAGGTTTCACAATGTCATATTTGAAGTGTTTGCGACCAACAGAGCCACAGGAGGTGCTAGTCGAGGTACATGTGTGAATTTGTGGAAACCACCAAGGGGCCACTTCCCTTGCGTTGAAGACGCTTCGACAAGGATATTATTGGCCTAGTATGAAGGAAGATGCTAAAGATTTAGTTGGGAAATGCGATGCATGTCAACGCCATGGGAATTTGATCCACATTCCTATCGAGCAACAGACGGCAATTTTTGGGGTGTGCCCTTTCTTTCAATGGGGGATGGACATCTTGGGACCTTTGTCCCTGGCCAAGGGACAAAGGAAGTTCTTGCTAGTCGCCGTAGACTACTTTACTAAGTGGGTGGAGGCTGAACCCTTGGCCACCATCACGACTACAAAGATACAGGGATTTGTCTGGAAGAATATCATATGCAGGTTCGGCATACCCAGAGTAATCATTACTGATAATGGAAAACAATTCGATAATCATAGTTTTCGAGCCTTCTGCACAAGTTACCACATCGACCACAGACTGACTTCAGTTGCTCACCCATAGGCGAATGGGCAGGCTGAAGTGACTAACCGAACCATACTATGGGATCTGAAGACGAGACTGGAAAAGGAGAAAGGGCTTTGGGCGGAAGAATTGCCCAATGTATTGTGGGCATATCACACAACTCCCCAAGAGTCGACCGGGGAGACGCCATCCAAGTTAGCTTTTGGGATGGAAGCTGTGGTCCAGTTGAGATACTAAGCGAGACGGGAAGGATGAAAGTCAAGCAACACGACGGAGTAGCGACTAGAGGAGAACTTGACTTCCTTGAAGGGATAAGGGATAAGGCGGCAATAAGAATGATGGCTTACAAATGGAGAGCTGCCGAGTACTTCAACAGGAGAGTCAAGCCAAGGGTCTTCCAGCCAGGAGATCTCGTGCTAAGGGATGCAGCAGCAGTAGGACACCCCCCACCAAAGCTTGGTCCAAACTGGGAAGGCCAGTACGAGGTAATCCGCGGGCTGGGGAAGGGAGCTTACAGTTTGAAAGATATGAAAGGAAGGCCGCTAGGTAGACCGTGGAACGCGGAACACCTCAAAAAGTATTATTAGTAGGTTTCGAAATATACAGACAGACAACACTTTTGTAAATACAGTCGACTAGGTTGCATCATTTATTTTCTCCATGTAATGCCTCACGAAGGCACCTTTATTTGTAACATTTGTTATTCAATGAAAGACCTTGGTGGTGACGGATGATGAGGGCGCTAAGGAAGGGTCAGCCTAGCTGGGACGTCCCGGTGCGCCTACTGAGCTCACAAGGCCAAGAATTTTTTATGCTAACAGGCAACTTTAAAATCCACGCTCATCCCATGAAGACATGAGGTCGACATAGCCTACGCGGCAAGGTAGAGAGCCTTGAAAAGTCAAAAAATTGGCGAAAGCCCTTAACTGCCAGACCACCCCCTGTGGTCGACATAGCCTACGTGGCTAGGTAGAGAGCCTTGAAAAGTCAAAAAATTGGCTAAGGCCCTTAATTGTCAGACCATTCCCTGTGGTCAACATAGCCTACGCGGCTAGGTAGAGAGCCTTGAAAAGTCAAAAAATTGGCCAAGGCCCTTAACTGTCAGACCATTCCCTGTGGTCGACATAGCCTATGCGGCTAGGTAGAGAGCCTTGAAAAGTCAAAAAATTGGCTAAGGCCCTTAACTGCCAGACCACCCCCTGTGGTCGACATAGCCTACGCGGCTAGGTAGAGAGTCTTGAAAAGTCAAAAAATTGGCTAAGGCCCTTAACTGCCAGACCACCCCCTGTAGTCCATATGGCCTACGCGGCCAGGTAGTCGACATAGCCCACGTGGCTAAGTGGAGAGCTTTCAAAAGTCAAAAAATTGGCTAAGGCCCTTAACCGCCAAACCACCCCCTGCGATCGACAGAGCCTACACAACTAGGCGAAGAACCACGAAATGTCAAAAAGTTGGTTAAGGTCCTAAACCGCTGGACCCCTCTACCTGTGGACAACATAGCCTGCTACTTAAGCACGGGGTAACATAAGGCTAAATTTGGCTAAGGCCATCGACCACTGGACGCTAGTTAAAAAAAAAATAAAATTATATATATATATATATATATATATATAGACAAGTAGGAGATAATGAGACTTAAACAAAAGCAAACAAGAAAAAAGAAAAGTTAGCAAAGAAAATAACAATTAAGAAATGCTTCAACCCAAGGGGGAGAGATCCCCACTATCGCCTCGTGATGAACGACCAAGTGACCTAGACGACTGAGCTGCACTCTCCTTTCCCTTCGCTGCGCAAGAAATCTATCCAAGCCAGAGGGGTCTATAGAAGGATGCTTGGCCATAATCCACTCCTTGGAGAATTTGATAGACGCTGACATTGCCTTCCCCCGATATGAATTCAAAGCCCTAGCGTAATCAGACGACGTCTTGTACTGTTCCACAAATGCCTTGAGGTCACTAGCATATTCAGCTGAGGCCTTATACTTCTCAATCACCTCCTCAGGAGCATGAGCCAAAACAGAACGTAGGTTGTCGTTCTCCGTCTCCTGCTCGCAAGCTCGAGCGTCCAACGCCTCTAAAGATTTCTTCAAGGAAGATATTTTTTTCTTGTAGTGATGAGCCTCTTTTTTCTTTTCTTCAGTAAGATTTTTCAACTCCAAGACCAGGCGGCGATTCGATTCTGCGAGTCCAGTCTGGAGGGCCACCACCTAAAAAAAAAAAAGAGAGAGGGGGAAAAGGTGAAATCAAGTATTAAAACCCAGCTTAAAAGGCGAGACTCAACATGAAAGAAATTACGAGATGGGAAACATACCCTCTGGAGATAAACAGCCGAAGCCCTTTCAATGTCATCTGCACTGCGCCCTGCAATTGCTCTAGAACGAGCAGGTGTTACCAAGGACTTTAGCACCTCCATCTCATGATAACCCCGGGTGGGAGGAAACCTAAAGTTAGAGAGTGAGTCCTCGCGCCCACAACGTTTGCGACTGGGAACTCCCGGCTTAGGAACTGGAGCCACCTCACAAGGCTCGTCTGAAGGCTGGGAAACCTCGTTGATCATCCGAGATTTCTCCCCTGGGTTGGCCGCCCTCTTTCTCTTCGAAGGGATAGGTGATGGATCCGACTCACCTTCCACCTCACCCTCCAGCCCATGGACAGGCATGAAATCCATAACCCCTTCAAGATCAAGCTCTGCCCCTGCACATATAAGTTGGAATCTGTTGGGGTCACAAGGTAGTAAAAAAAAAAATTGAAGGGGGGAGGATGGAAAAGGTGAGCACAAGAGCTAACCATCAACAAAGGCATGCCCCTCATCGCCTCCTAGCAAAGTCTTCAATACCCCATCAAGATCAAAGTCCATACCTGAATACACACATCCAAACTCATTAGTCCCGACAAGCTAAGAGCAAAAATAATAAGTAAACGTGTGTGCACGCAATATAAAAAAAAAACGACGGGAACAACCTACCGGTAGGACGACACATCCCCACTATCAACATGTTCTTCATAGTCAGAACTGATTCTAAGTCAGGTACATAAGGCGGTACATCGACCAACTCTTGAATTTGAGCTTCTAGAAACGGGGTAACTTCTACTTGGCTATTGAAAAGACGAATTTGAGGGTGTCGCCAATTGGTGTTAAAAGAGAATTGACCCGTTGAAGGCCGGAGAAAGAAGAATCGAGACTTCCATTCGCTATTCGAATTTCTAAACTTAGGAAATTGCAAAGGAACCCTAGTGGTAAAATAGACAAATGCATTACACTGAACTAGCTCATGCATTTCGAAGACACACCTGAAAAGATCCATGGAAAGCGAAATTCCCCGTTTAAGACAGACATATAGAAAATATAACGCTTTTCTCCATGTTAATCTGGCTAGGAGTAAGGTGGAACTCATTGAAAATTGACACAAAAAAGGGATGAATGGGAAACCGAAGACCCCCGTCCATAACGTCCTTGTACACGGCTATCTCGCGGGGGTCGGACCCGAGAAGTCTTTCTTTAGGACCGGGGGCTCTATAAACGTAGTTATCCACCCGGTCATACTTACCTAGACATTTTTCCAACTTAAGTGGTGAATTGTAAAGACTATAACTTCTTGGAATATCCATGGGGACAACCTCACCAGCCGGGTCTTGCCCAACTTCTAAATTTTGATTTGGAAATTTGGAAGAACTAATGTGCCTCTTAGGAGGATTTGGAACAAACGCCTGAGAATCAATTGAACGAGTTTTACTATCAATATTATGAAAAGATCTACCAGATGAAGGAGGCGAATCACTAGAGGGCCGAATCAATGGACTAGGTAGGCCGCGAGACTTAGGAGAGGGCGGGGGACGGCCAGCCCGAAGGCAAGCCGTAGGCCGACCAGCCCGGTCGACCAGCAAGGCTGGTCGATCGATTGGATCCCCTCCCACACCCTCCGACGAAGGTCCGATCGAGTCACTATACCCATCACTTTTCTCATAGGAAGGAGAAGAAAGAATTGTTTTATACATGACAACAAAGAAGATGAAGAGAAGAAAATTCAAAGCAAGACTTTGGATTAAAAGAAGAGAGAAAATTACCTTAGAAGGGAGGAGGCCTAGGATGTTGAGTGAAAGTGAAAGTGATTCTCAAAAATAGGAATTACCCCCCTTTTTATAAACAAAAGAATTCTAACTTTTGGAGGGAATTTTCCCTCCAATATTGGGGCCATTGGTGGGGTGCCATGTGTGCAGTAAAATTATCACTCGATCGTGTTTACATTATTCGATTTATTAATACGAACTACTCCTTTGTTGTATTAAAAAAAATAATAATAAAAACAAAAATAAAATAAAATAAAATAAAATTGCTACCCCTTGTCGAAAACATCGACAAGGGGTAGGGGGCTAATGATATAGGTTGATAGAGGAAACCACCCTCGACGGCAAGCAAGACGGATCACAGCACTTTGACGCGAGGTCGTCGACCCCCCCTAGGGGCACTCTGCCACTATGCAAGGCCGTCGACCCCCTCAGGGGGCGCTCTACCAGTTCGCGAAGTCATCGACCCCCGCCCTAGAGGCGCTCTACCACTATGCGAAGTCATCAACCCCCCCTAGAGGCGCTCTACCATTACGCGAAGACATCGACCCCCTTAGGGGTGCTCTACCACTACGCGAGGTCTACAACTGGAATGGGACTGCCTGTCCAAACACTTAGCCATAAAACTCCTAGTGAATTAATTAGGTTTCATAGTTGCTAAATGCGGAAATAATCCCCAGGCAGGAAACTAAAGATCCCCCACTCAGAACGTGGGCATAGTGGGAACGCCAACGTGGGACACGTGGCACCACATCCGCCCAGCGATTATTCGACCCCTAATGTCTATAAATACCTCCGGACGCAGCACATGTAAAGGGTTCTTTTTTTGATCTATCTGGTTCATCCTTAAAATTCAAATCATATTTTTCAAGCCTATGAACTAATTCTCACACCGGAGTTAAAACGGGAGAGGAAGCCCCGCCTTCACTTTTCAGGTCATATATACTGGACGGAGTAGACGAAACGCCCAGCGCA